TCTGAAGCTAGACCCTCTTTTACTTTTTTTATTCTTGCAGTAAAGTTTCTTTCACACCTCCATAACATCTTCAGTTATTTCAACTACTTCAACAGCCATTCAGAATCAACATAATTTATAACTTCTATACAAACATCTGGTAAAGCTTCAAATCTATTCTATACTGTTCTGTATTCCTTTTTCTAGTAGAAATTCATCAATGGATTATTTACATACACATACGACTTCCCCTTCTGGATCAACACTGAAATACTTCTGACACATCAGCAGGCAAAATGCAGCAACTGAACATTAGAATACTTCAGTCTGATTTTATTTAATCGGAATAAAATTCACTTAAAGCATCATTGAACATTCTGCTCCCTGCTTCCACAACTAGAAACCTCTTCTTATACAATGACTTCAATGAAAAGAGTGCATAAGCAGACCCTTCAATAGAGTGGAAACCAGCTCATTCTTTGGATGCCATCATTTGGCTACAGAATCATTTTCAGCTTCTTGTCTTTCTGGTTTTCGAGACAAAGCTTTAGAAATAGTTAAGGACTGTTCCCAAATTGAGTCTAGTGAATAGCTTGTTGATTCTACTTTAGAAAGCAAGGTGTTAAACCTCTTCAAGACTGAGACGTGAAGAAACCGGAATGTCTCCAGTTTCTTTGGCAAGTTTTGTTATAACTAATAAGTTATGTAATAGCTACAAAGAAGCACCCCCTCTCTCCATGGTCATGACAACAAAAGCAGATACTTTGCTCTCCTTTGTACTAGAATTCATGCTGTTAATAAGAGACACTGAGATGCCTGGTGCTGTCTACTTATGTGTTTAAGCATTCATGCAAATTTCTGTAAACCACTCACTTGAACAAAGATTAAATTTAGTTCCATGTTGCCCTTTAGACCCCTACTTGCTGTTTCAAATAAAATATTTAGTGTCTCCACTTCCTTTGGAAAATTAAGATGATGGCACACACATCATTATGAGAGAGACAACAAAACTTAAAAGATTAAGCAGTAAGCTCCACCTGTTAGAAAAAAAAAATTAAATTTCTCCCTGCAGGCTATAGCCTCTTAATCGCTCCCCTGTCCTCCCCCCATTTGGTATAAGAGTATACTCCACTGAGTTTTTCAACTGTAGGTCCCGTAACTCTCTTCTGTTAGGTTTTGTCAAAACAATGTATTCGGTCCATCCAGTTAAACTTTGAAGGGATGTTTATCTCACTAATTCAAATGTTGCTGTCTGTGGAGATTCACAATCCTCTTCTGAGCTATTAACATTTTCACGTTTGGCCTGAACATCATCTTGACTCCCAAATTTTACTGTGTAATTACACACAGGAAACAGTACTTCCTCCAGTGACTTCTAAACGTTCCAACCTATTAATTCAGGGAACATTCTTGGGAATTCTCCTAACATTATAAAGGCACCACAATTGTCTTTTAGACTTACTCTAATAGATTCAGGCAAAAATGTGTATGATCTGTGAGGTTTTTTCATCTTTTTATTTTTATACTACATTCTTAATGTTATTAAGAAAAAACAGTAATAAACTGCAATACGCAGCTCAGTAGAAATACTGCTAGAGCATAAAAGTCTGCTTTGACAAAAGTAGAATAAAGTTCTCGGTTATGGTAAAAAAATATTATTGGATAATATACAACAAAGCATATAAAAAAAAAGGGGAAACTTGAGAACATCATGCACTATATTAAATAAAAATACTGAAGTGAAATTTGTAAAAGAAGCTAAAGATATAATTATGCCTTTTCAGTATGAAAAGGAATTAATCACTGCACCACTTTGGCTGCCCCAAAGTACTAAGTCTCTGATACCAATCAAGGAGGAAGGAAGAACAAAAAAAAAGGGTCAAGAAATAACAGTGGAAGTATAGGCATTTTATATACCTGCGGCAGAATAACCTAAACTACTAGTGAGACAACTTACTTCCAGAAAGGGTGAAAAGGTTTAAAGCCAGGAATAATTTCAAATATTTTGCTCTTCCACAAGGCTTTAAAAGCTGAAGAAGCGAAGCAAAATATCAGAAGAGATCAATGTTGCTACAGGTTCATCAGAAAGTAAAAAACTTCATTAAAAGACTCTTCTCCTTTATGGAACCAAAACACATCAACCATCATATTCATTCTAGGGTAAAACATCATCTTCTGGACTCTAGATTGGGTCTCAGTATTTTATTAAGGTATTTGGACAAAATTTTATAAATGTTTTTTTCAAATGCGACCAAATAAAAGTTCATATTATCCAGAAGCATTTCTTGCATAAAGGTTTTCCTTATAGGTCACATGATTTTTGTCTATAACTAAAACAATACAATATTACTGCTTTAAGGAGTGGGATTTTTAAATCTTTTTCTTCACACATACCTCTTAAAAAACAGAACATATATGTTATATTCTGATTTTTTTCACATATTATAAGACCCAAGAATTTCTAAGATATCTCTAAAAGCTGAAAATTAAAGCAATCAATTACCTACCCCTTTTCTGACAACAAAAGGTAAGTTCCAATTTGCAAAGCATGTCAGCATTCTCATATTTGTCCTCTTCTGCCTTAACCCAGAAACAGGATTCTGTCATTTCCTGAGGCCTGATCTACAAGCAAAAGACAAAACAAAATTTTATTAATTAAATTATTTTGAAACTAAGCGGAGATTGTGCTCTGTAGAGTCTAAAGCAAATGAAATAGTTTAGAGCTCTTAAAAGACGTGAACTTACGCATCTTCAGAATTGTTAGTGTATTTCTGATTGAAGATAACAATGCTTACAGTAAATGCTTTTGGACAAACTGATTCTAACAATACAAAGCAATACAGACAACATAGTCTGTCATCCAAGGTCTAAAGGCACCTAATAATCGTTGGTCTAGAGTTAAAATTTGGATAAATTTTTAATAGTCTCTGAACACAGCTGGTTTAATGAGATTTATTAAGTACATTCCTTTTTACACTGTAGCTTTGATTTCTTAAAAAAACTCTGAAAATCTTTTTATTGACTTATTTTGGTCTAAATATTTATAGTTTGCAGAACTCAATAGATCGATAGTCCTGGTACAGTAAATCCTGTCACAGTGTAGAAGAAAAAAAATAAACAGACTATTTTTTCAACCATTAAATTTATATAAGTACATTTGGAAAGATCTGCAACGCTTCTTCCCATAGTCCATGCTAGATTGATGAAAGACACTTGTTTGGAATCGGAACAGCTGTAAGTACAGTGCAGTGACTGATCCAATGCAAACAGTTTGCTAAAAGACAAGGCACAGCAGGACCCAGGAAGCATGCTGGCATCAAGACTGTATAATTCTGGACCAGAACTGACTTTTTCCCAGGCATCTCCAAAAATCAACAGATACTCACCCAGATGATTCTTGACTGAGCGAAATGGAGTTTTTGGAAAACAATGAAAACTAAACGTCACATTTCACATAATTTTAAGTAGTGTATCAATCGCTGTCTATAGTCTTACGCCTGACAAGCTACTATTTACCCAAAGCTCTATCCAACATTTTACATCAAGTGTTTGCCATTAATCAGTACTACCTTGGACCAGTTGAGTCTTTTCATGGTAACCTCAGGTCTGAATTCTTTTTTAGGCTTCATTCCAAACGGCAAAGTACACGACGGTGGAGACCAGTGTACTCCAGGCAGGCCTGCTAGAGGTGGTGGTGGAGGAGCACCGCCAAAAGCCAGAGGAACTCCCAAGCCATTCAGAAGTGGTGGAGGAGGAGGGGGAGGTGGTGGTGGTGGAGGAATTACTCCATTAGAAGACAGCGGCGGTGGCGGAGGAGGTGGCAGTTGATGTGGTCCTGCAACTTCCAGTGGAACAACAGGTGCATCTCCACGTGTTGATGGTAGAAAGCCAGGTGGCAAGGAGCCATACTGATAAGGAAAATATTCTTACTCATTTTCACATTTTTAATCACAAAATGCCATAACAATCACAATTTACAGATTAAATCCAGCAAGACAACTGAAAGTCAGTGACGTTTTTCTTCTATAGGACAATCAAATCTCAATAATGAGGCCAACGTGCTTTCGGTTTCATAATTGGAAGTGTCAATATTTGATGCAAATATTCAGACCAGGGGGTGCACACCAAAAATCAAAAATTGAAATGCTGTATCCTGTTTGTCTTATTTCACTGATCATGTTCTAAGTAGTGACTGATAATTATCTTGATGAAATTTTATCTAGACTACTACAGTTTAGCTCAAATGCTAGAGAGAAGGGCAGCGAGGCTAGTGAGGGGTCTAGAGAACAAGTCTTATGAGGAGCAGCTGAGTGAACTGGGGCTGTTTGGTATCTAGAAGGGGAGACTGAGGGGAGACCTTGTCACTCTCTACAACTACCTGAAAGGAAGTTGTAGTGAGGCAGGTGTTGGTCTCTTCTCCCAGGTAACCAGCAATAGGACAAGAGGCAATGGCCTCAGGTTGCATCAGGGGAGGTTTAGACTGGACGTTAGGAAAAATTTCTTTCAGTAAAGAGTGGCCAGGCATTGGAACAGGCTGTCCAGGGAAGTGGTGGAGTCCCCATGCCTGGAGGTGTTTAAAAAACGTGTAGATATGGCACTTCAGGACACAATTTGGCAGACATGGTGGTGCTGGGTTGACGGTTAGACTTCATGATCTTAGAGGTCTTTTCCAACCTATGATTCTATGCTTGAAATTAAAAAAAATAACATCCTAGTCTCTAGTGTTCTTATTTATCAAACAGATTACAGAGAAATATTCCAAGGACACAACAGCAGAATCTGATGAGATTAGTAATTCTGTTAAAAAATAGATATTTTCCAATATACGAGCATTCTAAGACAGAGGATATAGATATAGGAGCATTTCTATCCAAAACCATGACATCATTCTACAGAATCGAAGGCACAAAGTAATGATGAAAAAAATCCTTCCGAAACATACAGCTATCTTACAGTGCTTTACTAAAACTGTAGACATATAAACTAGTGGACATCATATTTGCTAAAATAGGAAACATTATTATAACTAAGCAGATAGGGAAAAAAAAAGTAACAACACAATATTTTACAGTACTTAAGTAGTTTTGAAAACTGTATTAATGATTTGTAACATACCACACCAATTTCTTGTTCTATATCTTAAGGACATCTACATTGTATTTATATGGACTTATTAACACTGGAATAAATCTAAAAAAATAAATGTATTTCTATTATTTGAAGAACTTCTATCATAGGCCTTCAAACATTAATAAATATGTACCTGACAAAAACAATGAAAGAATAAATAATATTTATCTACTGGTGATACTGATTAATACTGGTGACAGTATTAACCAACTTTTCAACTGATAATTATGAGTTGAAACAGTCCATTTCCATTTTTAAACAATGGAAGGGAATACAACAGGCAAAGGATTTAATTTTTTTAAAAGGACATAGCTGAATATCAAGAAACACAAATAAATAAATGCACAACCATATTACTGTTTTAAACTTCTGAATATATGCATTGTTCACACTGACAATTAGACACAGAAGTAGACACAGAATAACTAGGCTCTAATAACAAAAGAAACACATGAACAAATACCAAATGCAAGAAAAGAGTACAGGAATGAGACCAGGAGATAGTCAGTCACAACAGACGGAAGTAGCCATGCTAAGTAGCAACTCACACCATAAGGAAACCGAAGATTCCTCCTAAGATGGATTTAAGAGTACTAAATTGCAGTAATCAATTACTTGATATTTACATAACCTTTCAAGTAACATTAACAGTGGGATAATTCATGGTATGATAATTTGTGAATATGTTAAAATAAAAGCTACATATAACACAGTGAGAATAAGAGAAGTAAAACACAGAAAAGAGAAAACCCATTTCGCTCACAAAGAAAAAAGTATTTAAGTACATTTTCAAGATATACCTATAAAAATACTTTCTTAATGGATGATATACAGCTCTCACTAAAAGTATGGTTTTAGAAAGCAACAATTTTTGTAACTGCTTTTTTTTAAAGCCTACTTGACATTGACATTAACAGTTAACTCTGACCAGAAACCTGAATTAGAATAATGTTTTTAAACAGACCAAAGCAGAGCTAAACTAATTTTCCTCACTAAGAAAATTACAGAAGCTCAAAAGTATAAAAGACCCTGCATGATCAGAACATAAACTTTATCACCTTCCTATATGCATGTCTTCTCAGTGCTGTCTTTCATTAGCCATTTTTAGATTGTGCCTCTAATTCCAGGAAATAAGCTACAGGAAAAATCACTTGCGTTACACAGTCTCCTCCTACAGATTTTAGAGCTGAAGCAGTTACAAGTTGACTCAAGCATTACTCTCAAAAAAATCTCAACTACACCTCTCCATTACACTTTAAAATATCTATTTATGCTTCAAAATTGAAAAATTATCAGGAAATGTTCTTATCCAGCCACAGGCTATTTCTTTCACTGCTGGATATCCATGGTAAGGCTTCAGCAAAGCAAACTGAGTAATGAATAATTTCCTATGGAGGGATAAAAATCACAGTGATGAATGCTAATCTAAAAGCATAAGACTTATTACCCTGTGTGGTTAATTACTTTGGAAATATATGACACAAAGCAAAACCCAAATGAAACATAAGAAACTAGTTTAATTAACAGAGCTCAGGCACAAAAAGAATCATCTGGGAACTCAAATAGCTAATTAATGTCACACTACAATTCTTTCTCTAAAAAAGAAATAAAGAAAACTAACAGTCAGTAATAACAACAGGAGTCTTTGGAAAAAGCTCAACTGTATATTAGAATCTGCAAAAGATGTAAAATGAAATGCACTTCAAAAACAGTACTTCATACAGTCATTTAAACTGTCCTATACCTGCGATTTAAAAGCTTGTAATTCTGCTTCAAGTTCATTGATTCTTTCCTCTTTTTTTTGCAGTAGGGTCTGGGTCTCCTGGTGAACTACAAAATCTTTTTCAAACTAAGAAAAAGGAATAGAAAAAAAAAAATTGTTGATACCCGTTGTCCTGCATAGTTTTCCTCAATTCCAATTTTTTCCTTTTGTGTTTCTTAAAACTCACATGTTAACAATACTAAGGACATACACAAACATATCTGCCATTTTAGCTTTCATGTATCCGCTGAGTGGAAGTACCTCATCTGTTACCACTACAAGTCTTCACTGTATGAAATGGCATAAAGTACTTGATGTATTTAAAGTTGGAATTAGACTAAGAAGCTTGAAAAATTGATGTACAGCAATACAGAGTTTATAGATACAAATGAGTCAATTCTTATTCTCCCACTGTTTATCTCTGAAGAAACTGACAGCTGTTCAAATGAAGTATTCAGCTGATTTTGGGGAGATTTGTAAATGAAACCTTGATATAAATATCAGAAAGACTCTCAAGTTAAGGTTAACTACTTTATATTATTTTTCTCTGCTTCCCAATCCACAAGAAACATTGAAACTCCTACCTAAACATAAAACCTAATAGTAATTTCAAGTTAAAAACCATGCCACTTTCAGTTAGACTACTCATGAAGCTATTACATAATCCCCTGTGTCCATCTTAAGACCACGTAACTTAAAAATTACTTACTTTTCTGGAGAGTTCAGAAGCCCTCTCTTCACATTCTTCTAATCTTGCTTTATCTACACAAATATCTTGAAAAAATAAAAAAACCAGACACTTGCACATATACAGGGAACACAAGATTCTTAATCACAAGTACAACTTCAACTTGGGTTTTGGAACATATAAAGGAGTATGACGCTGTGATCATTTCCAGGCATACTACTTACCTATTAAGTGGCTGAAGTTTATATCTAATCTTTTACGGTATGTGAAATCTGGGTCTGTTCCACTTCGATGTAACACTATCTGGGACACACACTCTTCAATTAATTTAAAATACTGTGGACTAAAGACAGAGATCAGTTATTCTGCACCATATCTAGTTCATAACGTATAGTTAAAATCCTGTTTATGAAAACGATCAGGTCAAAAGATTTGGGCTGACTTATTTCCATAGAAGGATAGGTACAAACCCCAAAAGTCTCAAAGGACAAATGTATCTGGCAGTTTATTACACAAAAACAGTTTACACAAAGCCTGAAAAAACAGCAGACCAAAAGACAGACCTTTCTTACATTATAAACTGCATCTCTCCTCCTGTGGAAATACAGGAAGGATGGACTCCCTCCTGCTCCCTCCCAGTCAAGAGAAGGCTCTTCCTTCAGCTTGATCCCTTCTGGTTTTGTGACTTTTGTAACTACCGATGCATTGCAGCCCTGCTTCAGGAAGAGGAATGAAAAGCACATTGCTCTAAAACACCAGGTAATATGACAGCTGGGTCCCTTGCCCAGAACATGTAAGCTGTGAATTCAAACCCTTTCACATGGAAGAGGTCTAGCACAAGTGTACCCATATCAAGCAAGCACTCTTAACTTTTAAGGGTACATCTGTGCTAGACCTTGCCTGAAATGCAACATTATGCAGAACGCTACACAGACAGCTTTCCTTCCCTGTTCAGTTCATACCTGGCTTCTCTAGTGTTTCATCAGAAACAACACAAGCAGATTTTAGAAAGGAAAATATTTGACAGCTTCAAACATCTAAGACTTTATTAACTATCTCCCTGTAATTTATCTGACAATTTTTCCAAGACACACTAACATGTTCACATTGACCCATAATGCATATTGAGAATACTAAACTCCCAAACAAAAGTTACTCTAAATTAAGCATATGTCCAGATTTCTGTATAAAGTGCACTTTTGTGTATACTTGGCTTTGTCCTTTGACTCAAATACACCACAAAATTACAATGCTACTACCATGATTTACAAATGATTGAGAGACCTGTCCTGATCACTTATACTTGCAGTCAATAAGCTTCAGATCTCAACACAAATAGCTTTCTATATATATAAAACTGTATCCTAAGCAGAAGAGACAAAAACATACCGATGACATTCTTATTCAAAGCTGATACTTTTGAACGCAAGTTCATAAAGGAATACTTATGAATTGCAATCTGCACAAAAAATACAGTATTTATCATTACATTTGTAGAAGAAATATTCTGTTAATGACTAAATGACAACAAAATCCATAATTAACATTTAACATAGCATTAAACATACCGTATAAAATAATCGTTTCTTATCAGCAAAAGATGTTGGAGAATAGAAAGAAAATATCCTTCAGCGCTGGTGTCCTTAACTGTATTCCACACCATGTTGTAAACATCATTTACTTCAGTAAAAGAGTTAAGGAGAGTAATAGCAATGAAGAAAATATATCAGTTAAATGCTGACTGATAATTTTTTTAAACAGAAGTTATACCAGAACAATGTCCATTATACAGTTTATTTTGTTCATGTTTCTCTTGCTGGTATCAAAAGGATATTCTAGTTCAGACCTAATATCTTCTAAACGATGAGAAAACTCGATCATGTCTTCTTCCTTATGCTCATTGAACACTTTCAGCTGAATATCTAGTGCTTCATTCTTTATACATTTCAATCGCTGCAAAGAAGAAACAGCAGAAAGGCTTGCAAAATTATCATTTCCACATGTAAATGAACTTTATCTTTTTAATAACATCTATAAGTTTATGTTATTTTAAAATTTAAAATTACAAGAACACAAGTTAAGTATTTAAAAGGTAAACATGTCTTCAGCCTGGCTTAACAAGTGTGCGCGCAAGTCTGTCACATCTTCTAAATCAAAGTCTTTAAATGCCAAGGAATCAGCCTAAAGTTCAGAGAGCACACTTCACCTTTTCATTCTTATTTTAAGACTGATTCTCATGACTATCTGCTCATGCTCAGACTTAATAAAATGCCTTTTGAAGCTATTTATTAGAACTTCTTTTCCCTTTCCCCTTCTCAAGCTCCAACAGTCCAATAATATAAATAGTAATGCAAAGAGAGACTACAAGATGCTTACTGGCAATATCTCTTTCAATCCACTGCGCATAAATTCATTTCTGATGTGCAGCCTAAAATCCAAATCATCAGGAGATGTAACAAGAGCATTGATGAGCTGCATACAAGCTACCTATAACAGAGGAAATATTAAATGATTTCAATATGTATCACTGTCAAAAAGACATAACGAACTAATTAGACATTGTCACGTCTAATTATCAGTCTACTGTAATCTTATAATTAAGATACTTAAATTTCTTACCAACCACACAAACTACAGACACCAAACACTAATTCACAATTTTCCACAAAAAATGCAGTATTTTCTCACTCCAATGAATTTTGCCATTTTATACAAATAGCAAGTTCCTTTAGTAAACGAACTTTAGCACATCCTAAATACCTTGATAAGCATAATTCTTGACATACAAAAAACAATGAAAATATACATTTACCTATACATATATATAAGAAGTTTGTGACACAATAGAAATCGTAATGTCTGTGTGAACAGTAGAAAACATATTAAAAGACAAAGTGTTGATTAAACTAAACTGACCCTGAATAACAGAATGGGCTTTTTCCCCTTATTTCTAAAAATCTTCCTTCTTTCAATATCCTGAGTGTCATATAATACTTCACGGGGATCAGTACTTCAGCTCAAAAGCAAGCATCAGGTCAACTGTGATGCCTATATCAGCCTATAGTTAACTAGCGAGTAGTCTCTCTTCCAAAGCAGCAGGAGGTCCCTCTCTTTTTTCCCCCCCCCCCCCCCTTACTGTTTGCAGTTCTTGCTTCAATGCACAGGAAATGCATTATTCATTTATTTCCAGCATTTCACGGGGTTTTTAAAAGCACAAGACAATTAGGATATGTCTTCTGGCTTACTATACTATGTAAATAAGCAGAACAAACTGGCTTAAATACTTTCTCTGTTGTAAAGCCTTTTATCATCTATAAAATGATGATGCATTATGCTGTGGTCAGGCAAAAGGCGATACTGGGAACATACTGTATGAGTCATCTTCAAAGTACGTATAATTCCAAGTAATGAATTTACATATGGTCACCGGAAGAACTGTATGGCCAAGCTACTTTGACACAGACTGTAAGAAACACAGCAGTTCTCATTAGGTTTACAAGAGGAACATGGTAAAATTAAATTATAACACTGACTACAACTGTGATCATACATTTATCCTACTGCAAGGATTATAAGCACCAAAGTAGTTTCATACATTATTTTAGCTAAACTGTTACGACAGTGCGTGGCAGCCAGCACAGCTTAGGCCTACTTGACAGCAGCGTTAGCATGTGTAGGTGAACTTTAGTTAACACTGTAGAAAGGAATAGCTTAGTTCTAAGAACAGAGATGACAACCTGTTAATCAACTTGACAGCTATGAATCTGTTGAGAAAATCGAGTTAAGCAAACTGTGAGCTCCAGAAGGTGGTTAGGGACCAAGTGTTAGAATGACCCAATGCATCAGGCATTCTCCACCCAATCCAGCAAATGATGGTGTTTGGAGTCACTTGAAGAGAGAACCCCAAGGGCCCCACAACTCTGCACCAGGAGTTGAGACCATCTCTCCAACTTCCAGAGACACCCGAGAGGACAAAGATGCTCAAGAAAGGATGGTGTGGCACAGCGTGGTGGGAACCACTCTACTAACCCATCCAACACCTCTCCTGGAGAAAAGCTGCCATGGCAGCATCTATTTTTATATTACTCCATCACACAACACACCTTGCAACAACAAAAACTTTCAAACAATAATAGGAGGAGGGAGTAAGCTTTGCTCCTCCCCCTTAGTTGAATGAAGAACTGAAATTAAGCTCTATTCCCTCAGAACTTCTATGAAACTCCGTACACGCAAATACCTATATTTGCATAATAATAAAAAAGAAAACTTTTACTTTTACTTTATTGACATCAATAGGACAAAGCACACTACTAAATTCAATTATTTGAATAAACTGCATAAAAATGTTAAGATACACTTCTATAACTTCTTCAAGTCTTAGACAATAATTATTCAGGTTCTGACATCTAAACAAACATACAACATGTGAAAAAAAAAAATCAAAAACTTTGGTTAATTCAACAAGAAGTTGTATTAAAGCATACAAAAAAAACCACCACGGAATAAAAGTTTGCGGGATAACCTGTGAAAAGCATTTATGATTAACACATATTCTTCCTCAAACAAGAGAAGGAAGACAAGCAGAGAATCTGCAGGGTCAGTACAAGATAACGGTGAAAAGGACTACCCAAAGCAAACAAAGGCCACAGCAACACTTCATCAAACGTTCTACTGGTGTATGACAGGAGTTCCCAAAGTAGAACAGAGTCACAAACAAGTTCAGCAGTTGGCAGAAGAACTTGCAGAACAAAGCCAATAATGAGAAGTCACAAAAGTTTTGAAGAAAATTGAGGAAAAAATAACTTTTGTACTTGCTATTGTATTTAAATTCTTACTGAAAAGTATGTTGACACTCAAGAAAAGGAAGACGGCAGAAATATTGATATTTATGGGAAGATCTGGACAACTACAGACTGGTAAGCTTGACTTCTCTACAGTGCAAAATTACTTAAATATAATAGAGAACAAAATTAATGAGTAACAAAAAATGCAACATGCATAAATGAATGGTATGCATAAATGCAACATGGGTTTATAAAGCAAAGACGTGTTTCACAAAGCCATGAAAGCTGTTTGAAAGGCTCAAGGAGCAGGCAAGAATACTCTGATTGGCCTAAATCTGGACTTCAAAAAATAAAAAGTTTGAAAAATGTCAAAACCATTTATAAAAATTTAGAAAACAGTATGTTAAGTAGCCAAATTCCAAAATACTACAAAATAATACCAATTTGATGTTTAGAAATTTCTGAAAAAACACCCCCAAAACTTTTAAGGCTCAAAAACTACTTGGCTGTACTAAGGTTTGTTGAAGTACTGTTTTCTTGCTGCTTTTCTTCTCGCTCTAAGTCCACCTTTTTAATTTATGCTAGCAAAGTGTGTAACAAAAATTTATAAAAATATCAATAAAAAAATAGACTGCATATATGGCTAGCAACTGCAAGGCAATGAAAGCCTGTTCACGCCCTTTTTCCATATCCTTACAGTGAGATCAACTATGCCATCACCTAATGAGTAACAATAAAAAACCTACAGTTATTAAAAAGCAATATACCTACAGTTTGTTTTTTCAGAAAGGTACTGGCACAACATCAACAGCAGTCAATTTTAAAAGAACTCAATTAAACAGAAATACAGGTAACAGCACCGAAACATTGATCATTCTGTCTTAAACAAAGTATGTTCCCTTGAGAAAGATCTCTCAGATTTGGTGTTTATTTAAAGTTATAAATAAGAAACAATCCTCACCTATTCTCCTCTGAACAACCCACTTTGAAAGCTGCTAAACTGATAACAATGTGGGGTTTTAACTGTTGTGGTGGATTCTTCATCTTTGTAGTGCCTGTCAGAACTATTCTTATGACACCTCTCCTCCCTGAAATCTGCTATTTCCCTAATTTTATGAAATTCAATTTTGTACATATGTCTAGAGTATTTTAGAAACCTAAAGGGAAATATGACTTAGTGAACTTACTTATTTTCTTCGAATAAATCCAAACAAAACCTTTGTGTTATTCCCGAAGCCTGTTTCTGGGCATGTGCTGTTTCTAAGAGTTTAGTCTACTACTTGTTTGTTTGCTGCTGCTGAAGCATCACTCTACACTAGGTAAGAAAATGTAGTGCTAACCCCAAAAAAGGAAATTACAAATACCAAAAGACAAACAAATAGAAAATGCTTAGATTACCTACAACCAAACCCCACACAACGATAAAAAAAAATTTCAAAACCAGAGAAGGTGCCCAGTTCACTTTTCAAAAGTGGACTGAATAAAACCCACCAGTAATTGTCTTAATAGCACCCCACAGAGAAGAAATTAGGAATCTCCTGTCACACAACCAAGCATCTTTGGAAACTGGAAAAGCTCCTCATATTTAGTATTTGTCTGTCATGTCCTTTAAAATCTTGTTCAGAACACATGGCCTTATAGCCCAGTTATTTTCTCTAGTCACAGGCTACATGCTTTGCATTAAGCTAACACCACATGCTTCCAGACTTTGTTAGGCTATATCAAGCCTTGACTTGCCTGTCTGGAGCTCTGTTTTGGATTATTTAGCTGCAACAGGATTTGTCTAGTAACAGAACGACTACTACCCCACTAGTTTTAGATTTTGCTTAGCCTTGCACAAGATTGTGGCACAAAGTTTACTGTTGCTGTTTACTGTTACATACATTTCTATAACTAGCAGATACAATATGACGCTAAATAAAATGCAGCATAGGAAAGAAAGGGCATGAGATGTGAGCAGATACATGTGTTAAAACTACTGAGAGTAATTTCTTTAGACCATTAAGACTTCATTAAGACTAACAACAAATTCTTGGCTTTGAATATAAGGTGTATTCCTTAGGCCCACAAACCATATAAGTTGCAGTGTCACAAAGCGGTGGAGAATGTGATGAACCTCGTCTGTAATCTGGATGCAACAAATGGTAGAAAATGCAGGCAACAAAACCAGTTAAAACTAAATGCAACAATACCTTACAGAATATATTCTCCTACCATTTAAGTATAGGGTACATTCTTTATTGTTGAACCTTCTTCTATTTGTTTTGGTACAGGTCCGTTTTAAACTAAACCATACACTTCAATCAGTATTTGCATTTTTCTTCAGCAGCCATGATAAAAATTTTTACTCCCCCTAATTTTGAGATTATTTAGTTGAAACCTGTTACACCATCACCAATTTATCTCTCTGGAGTAGAGAGTCTTTCATTCCATTGCATTTTCTTGATTCAATTAGCTCTGCCATTCAAAATCAGTAATTCACACATTGAGAGATGCCACCAACTCCTGTACTCATGTTAACATCCGTGAGGCGTTTCAATGATTGTAGACTTCAATAGACTACCATACAGTCAGTAATAAAGTATAGTACTGCAAAGTTACATTTACTTTTCAAATAAAGTCAAACTTCTTGTTGTTTAATTACATGAGAACTGGAACATCTGTCATTGTTATCAGCAGTTTAAACACAGTATAATTTCATGC